AAGCTGCAGTAAATGCTGGGTGGCCCCAAGCAGGCATTGGTGCAAGGGGTTGTTCCTCCCCAGGTGCAGGATTTTGCACCACTCCTTGTTGAAATCCACGGGGTTCCTGTCAGGACATTTCTCCAGCCTGTGAGGTCCCTGTGGAGCGCAGCACCACCCACTGCTGTACCAAACACTCCTCCCAGTTTGACATCTTCAGCTGCTCAGTTTTGTCCTTCATAAGATGATTTCAATGAAGTTATAAAATATCACCATAAAACATACAGAGTTTGTTTTGAAAGTATTTCCCCACTTGTAGTCAGCGCTTGTTTGCTGGCTACAATCCACAGGACAGTCAGCCCCCTGCATTTCTTAGCAGATACCTTAAAGCATGAGCAGTGAAAAGATTGTGACTGCTGGTCTAGGAAAAAAGTACTGAGTCAACAGTGTTACACTGGTCCACAAAGGTGGGGAATTTCTCCTGTCAGAGTGTTATGTTCTTCCTGGGCAAGTAGAGTAGTAGAGAAAAAAGGGAGCAAAATTCTGCCTGTATTCTTCATCCAAAAACACTGTAGTAAACCTCTGTCAAGGCATTCAGGATGGGACACCAGTATCACTCTGGTGGCATTTGTAACAGAAAAAGTCTCTTCCTCTCCTTCTGTCTGTCATTTGGGCATTACTTATTAGGAAGTGTTCCCAAAGGAATACTGCTGGCCACTAATACCTTGCTGGTCAGCACTACCATCACATTATTGTCACTGTAGCATTGAAATTGCATCCACGGAAACGTTCTTTACAGGAACATCAAGATTGACTTTGCCATGTTTGAAAAGTCTGACATTTCCGCAGACCAGCACTTCCCATTTCCAAATCTGAGGCTGCTTTCCAAAGGACTTTACACACCAGAGCTCCCACAGGACAGCAGAGACCACAGGAAGCAGCCAAGCCTTGACTAATGGGCTGACACTGCTCTATGGTAGGACACCCTCCAGCTGCTGGAAAGCAATGAAGGGAGACTGAAACTTTGCCAGAGAGAGAGAGAACTTTTAGCCTGCCCATTTCTGCTGAAGGACTAGAGTAGTAACCTTTACGGATCCACTAATATGCAAGATAAGCAGATCTTTTGATCCAGCTATTGTTACTTTTAAAAATACACTTATCTATTAATTATTTCATGCTGAATCAACCTAGCAAAATTCTTTTCACCCCACTTATATCACAGATTTCAGATGTAGGGACTAGATGGCACCAAACACTTTTGAAAGCGTTAACTTATGGATCTATAAATATATGAGTGATGTTTTTATGCAAATTATAAAAAAGGCCCTAAGGTTCCAGACAGAGATTATATATTTTATTATATAATTTGGTCCCTTGGTGAAGAACAGATATTCAATCCCTTCCTCAGCTCTGATAAGGATGCACTGGGGGTCATGCTAAATCCAGGATAGGAGCAAGGTGCCCTCAGCCTAGGTGCCTTGACTGCTGGATTCACTGGTCAGCAGAACAAATTTGATCTGACTCAGATGTGGGCACATGACTGTAGTTCTCTTGTGTTAGTCAGACACTACAGAGCTGTGTTCTCGTGTGCTGGCTCTGTGTCAAGGGATGAGGGGGGAAGAGGATGCACAGAGCTGACTCAACAAAGATTTCTGAACAAGGATCCACCAGCCACTGCATTCTGTAGCTCTGGCATTTTGGAGTGGACTTCAGGAAACCTCAGCCCAGCTGCAAGCTATTGGCATATCAATAACACCAGTGATTTAATTCACTACTGAGTTTTGAGAGATAGGGTATTAGCACCTGCAGAGCAGAAAGCAGTGCCAAAAGGAGGGAGGAGGGGTCACAAGCCTTATGGTAGAGTAGGAGGACCAAGCTTCTATAAGTTACCAGAAATAGAGGGATCTGCCAAAAGTGGTTACAAGTAAAATAAACATTTATATTTGTAACTCATGATCATAGCATTGATATTATGACTCCCATCCTCCTTTCATGCCTCTCTGACTATCTGATGCTGAAAATGATTGCTTGACTGCAAGTGGAGAGCTCAAAGTTGCAGCCCCCAGTGGCCAGCAACCCTTCTAATACAGCGATCCAGCTCTACCATACTGTCTCTTCCAGCACTGTTCTCCCATAGGGGGTGTCAGGATTAAGCCTTTGTCCTCTTGTTGCCACCACTGCACCACAATAAAGTCTGGCTGAAGCCCTGAACTTCCAAAGATGGACACACAGTGTGTGGCCAATATGCCAAAGGATTTCAGTCTCCTGCCCACCTTTAGGCTACCTCCTTTTGCCACATTGAAACAGATTTTTCCTCTTGTCAATGACACAGATTTCAAGAGAAAGATTTAAACTAATAATGATGGAGAAGATTGGGACTGACCTTTCCTTCTTATTCCCTCTTCTGCACAGCACTGCTGAGGTGTTTATTACTTTGGTGTCCACCTGCTGACCTGTACAGTATAAATTTAAACAGGCGAGTTTTGCAGTTCAATAAATATAGAATATCTTTTAAAGTCACACTTGAGCAGATACAAAGTCTGGGAAATGTCATCCAAATGTTATCATAAGTGAAATAAAATGAAATCATAATTCAGCCAGATTCAGCATTACACCAATGCAGTGGAAAGTAGTGCTTCAAATGCCTGAATCTGCTGCCTCATTGGTTTCTCTCCTGAAAACTATAAATTCTTGATCAGATAGTCTCTCCTGAACTGCAAGATAGAATGAGTAAAGTTCAATTTGGCTAGGCAAGAGCAACAGTTACTGAGATCAGAGAGATTTAGAGCAACAGAGTTCTACAAATCAGCTGTCCTGGTATGACAACTTGTCATACAAGGACTGATAAAATCTTCCATACAAATGGTTATTTGGAAGATTATGTCTGTACTCAGTGGACCTGGATCCTTCAAAAGCAAGAAATTACTTCGAAAATTGAGGGGACATATTTTTTGCGGGTACTTAGGTAATCACTTGTCTACCTCATTACACAGCTAAATACCTCTGAAAATGTAATCTTCAGTCACAGTCTCAAAGGAGACAGATTTCTAGAGGTGCACAGATGGCCAGGAGGTTTACAAAGTGCCTGGTTGTTTAGTTCACTATAAAATCAGTGAGAGTTAAGGGTCTCATATAAAACCACGTAGATCTGCCTAATTAAAAACATAGCCCTGTGTCTGGTTAAAATCACTAAGGTTGGAGACTTGCAAGCTCTCAAAGCTACATTTTGGCCTTCCATGAGGAAGTCCCCAGGCAGGAGTGCCTGATCAATGGGAACAAGGAGGGGAGAGGTGTCAAACCTGGGCCAGCCTCCAGTCCTGGACTGTCAGGACAGGGGGCTGGCAACAGCAGGGAACAGACAGTCCACAGTGAGCTGACACTAAAATAGGTCAGTCTAGACCTTCACAAAGACACTTCAATCATATCTGCACGGTTCAAAGCAAGCTGTGGGTTTGCTTAGACCATTTGAGGAGGTGGTTTTCTTTAAATAGCAGCTTAGGATGAGAGCTGCCACTTCCAATTCAATCACCCTCCTTTAATACAGGCTGGTGCTTTGCAGCTGGATAATTAACCTTGGTATTCATTTGGACTTCAAAACACCCAATTCCCATTGCTGTCAATTAGCTGACAATGTCAAGCGTGTGTTGATAGAAGATTTTTGTGTGACCCTGGCAATATGGCATTTGGGAGATTTCAGTCCTTCACAACTAAAAATGGGAAGTGACATTCACAGAAGCACAGAATGGTTGAGGTTGGAAGGGACCACTTCACTTATAGTGAAGTGGATCCACCAGATCCACTTGGAGATCTAGTCCAATCTCCCTGCTCAAATAGGGTACTCTGGAGCACTTTCCTTAGAATTGTGTCCAGGATGATTTTTAATATCTCCCAGCCTCTATGGGCACCCTGTTCCATTGCTCAGCCACCCCCACAGTACAGAATTCTTCCTCATATTCAGGTGAACTTCCCATGTTCCAGTTTCCACTTGTTGCCTCTTGTCCTATTGCTCAGCACCACTGAGACTGTGAATTTGTCACTGGATTGAGTTCACTTAAAAAAAACAGACATGTATTAGGGTTTACCCTCCTTTCTGCTCTTAAGGCAATGTACCTTTCTAAAAGACCCTCAAGATATTTTTCAAACCTTCTTGTTGCAGCTCTGAATGCACAGAAGATGTCTTGATCTCAGGGCACCCAGAAGATACCATGCTTTTTAACACCAATGTAAGGCTGGAGGCAGGGTTATAAATGACTGGTACACAATGATTTTTGATATGAGAAGCAGTACAATAAGCACCGAGTATCAAAATGAAAAAAAAAAAAAAAAGTGGGAAGGGCCACTGGCATTTCATTCTTGCCACTGATCTCTTTGCTTTTATAATAAAGAGTTACATCCTACTGGTAACAAGATTAAATTAGTGGGCAGAAAGAAATTTGAATCAGACTGTTTTCCTGATATGCCACAGTGGATTGTGTTCTGCTAATGAGTGCTAACCCTGCAATCAGGTAAACATTCACCTTGAGAAATGAACAACCTTAATCAGGGCTTTTAAATCAGCCAGAACAGTCAACAGCTAAAATGAAATTGGCTCAAACACAACTGCTTTTCTTTTTAAATATTGTTCTTCCTTCCTTATGAGGACGGGAAATAATAGCATAAGTGAAACATTCTTGCAGTAAAGGAGCAGCTCCAGTCCTTCCATGTTAGAGACCCTGTCCTGTGAGTAAGAAGGGATGTATTGATTGATGCTCAATAGAATGCTTTTGCACAGGCTAACTGGAACCTTCTGTGAAGGCTCCTAAATGAGCTCAGTCTGACCTCCACAGTTCTAAAGAACTTTACCTCAGATCCTAAGCAAAATAATGGAGAAAATAAATAAGAGGAGGGGGCAGGAAGAAAGAAAAAAGAAGTGTTGGTCTGTTGTGCTTTTCTCTGGATTTGAGAATGACTTCAACCTGTGGACCTTTATCTGAAATATCCTGACAGTAGAAAAAACACTGACTACTCCATTTTCTCTGCAGGGTCAACACTACGAAGAGGAAAAACGGGCTTTGAGCCATGAAATAATTGCACTCAATAATCACTTAATAGAAGCCAAGGTGACAATAGATAAGTTGTCAGAAGACAATGTAAGTATTTAATTATTCATTTTGAGATTATATTCAGAAACAAATTGGGTCTTGCACTTCCCAGTGCAAGAAATTATAGAATAGTATTTTATGTTTGTATAAAATGTAACTTGCCACCTCAACGGTTAAAAATCATATTTGTTTGTTTGTTCCCACCATTTTGTAAATTTAGCTCTCCTTATGCTATGAGGTTGTGGTGAGGCTTCTCATTGATATTTTTTTCCTTGCGTCTAGCCTGAAACTGATGAAAAAATATTTTAAGAAATGACAATATTCCCACATTGATTTTGACATCAGTACAGCAAATCGGTGCAAGCACATGGTCAGCGCTGTTGCAGGGACACGTGTGGAGTGGGGACTCATCAGAAGGATTTTAGGCACAGAGCAGAGCCCTACATTTCCTGCAATTCTTTGATCTTTCAGTCTATGCTCACCAAAAAGCCCAGCACAAGCCAGCTCTGCCAGCACAAGGCAGGACTGACCCAGCCTGGTCACCAGACCGCTCCTGCAGGGAGGAGGAGCCAGACTTTCCCCAGCAGTTGTTTGTGTGTAAAAATGTACCTTTACATGTGTGGGACAAAACAGGGAACATCTCTGGCAATTGTCACCCTCCATCTCATTAAACACTACTGAAAAATGGCATGAGTAGCACAGCTGGCAACAAGCTCATTAAATCCTTCCTGAGACAAACCTGCAAAGACAGCAAAGAGAGGAATATTGCAAGCATTTAGTTCATTATTGTGCCATTCCTTCCACATTTAATAAAAAATTCATCTACAGAAGACATGTTTCTGTTAGCACTTATTTTCCAGCATCTTACTTTCAATCTTCCCATATTTCACATGAACTCTTAATCATAGCTGGGAGCATTTAATCTCATTAAAATGCCTGTTGATGTGAACTCTGTCTGTGCAATTAACAGCTTTCCAACTGAAATAAAAAGTTCCCAATCTGACCCCTAACTTTTATAGAAGTTGAGTTGAAAGAAGAGTTACTTTATAACTCTAGCAGCTGTAAGTAATGGAGTGTGGTAAAAGTAATGGCCTACATCCAGGTTTTGGAATCACAGGTATACCTGCAGAGTAATTCACCTGAAATCAGTGGAGTTCTTTTTGATTTAAAACAGAGGTGGAAGAAAGTTGCAGAAATCTCCCTTTAAGTATGCATGAATTTATACTACTTCATGGAGTCAGGTTTGAACCCACATTTGAAGTGTTTTCAGTGCTCCTAGTTTTACTCTGAGCACTGGAATACAGTCCAGAGGCCTCAAATAACAGCACCACTTCAGACTTGAGGTTGGTCCATGGACAAAGCTCTGCCCTTGCAGGTCTTGAGAAAATAGCATGAAATTAAGTCAGGGGAGGTTTAGGTTGGATGTCAGGAAAAGGTTCTTCACCCAGAGGGGTGGGCTCTGGAACAGCTCCCCAGGGCAGTGCTCACAGCCCCCAGCCTGGCAGCTCAAGAAGTGTTTGCACAATGCTCTCAGGCACAGGCTGTGACTCTTGGGAATGGTGCTGTGCAGGGCCAGGAGCTAGACTTGATGATCCTTGTGGGTCCATTCCAGCTCAGGATAATCTATGATTATACATAGTATAACTAATAAAAGTAAAGGTTATATTCCAAATTTTAAAATAAAGGACTACAAAACAAACCACTAATATACCTAATAACTACAGAAGTGATAAACTGATGAATCCTACATGGGGAGAATGTTTTTGCCTCAGCAATATTTCTTCAATTATATTTTCCCTTTCTCTTCAGAAAGAAATGTAAAATGACGCTTTTGATACAAAAACAGATTTTAAACTGTGGGAAACACTTCTGGCATTAATTGCCAGTGATTGTTCTGGTTGCCACAGATATGGCTGGTTTCCATTCAGGCAAACATTAAAGGAGAGAAGGTCACTCCAGTCACATGGCTTGGCCCAGCAGGTTGAGAACAAAGTACACGTGGCACATGTAGCTCACATGTAATTTCTCTGTAGTAATTTTTAAAGCTGCTAAAAATAAAGTGTCAGAAATGCTTTTTGTGCTCTCCATGACAACCACTGAGCAGAAAGAGGGGCACAGAGCTTTTGAAGAAAGGATTAGGTTCTGGAGAGATGTCATTTTTGTGTGCCTGGAAATGCCATATGGGACTCGGGGTACCTGTCTGTGCTATACATTGTGCAGCAATATATATTGGGTTTAATGTATATGCAACATATCAAAGTCACATGCACATGCCACGGATTTTACTTCTAAATTGAATTTTTGGGTTCTTTTTCAGGAATGAAATAATGTGTCCTAATATAAAATTTAAGATGCACATAAATGAATACAGTATATTTGCAGCAGAAGGGGCATGTATAAAATGTCACAGAGAAAAACAAAACACAAGTGTCTAAACAAAAGTGTCTAAAGGTCCTTGAATGTGAAAAAATATGAACTAATGTTCACAGGACATCTATCCCCATCACTGAAAGACTCACAAGAACATCTTGTTGCTTCTCTTATTACAGAATACCTTAAAATTGTCCTTTAAAACAGAGGAACTTTATTTTTCACGGAAAATTTCTTTATGAGTTTTTAAGAGAATTAAAGTAGCCGTACATACTGGCATGCAGTAAAATTATGACATTAACATCAGAGAAAATCCAAATTATATCAGTATTCCCCACCTTTTGTCTACAAACACACACTAATTTTTACAGATTAACACAGCCCAGTGCCCATAGCACTTTCATGCTTTGTATATCTCATCTCTGCCTACCTATAAAGTCAGCTTCTGAAGACAAAGCAAAAGGAAAAACAAAATACAACTCCTACCTTCAGGGAGCCAGAGGTACTGGTTGAAGGATACAGTTACACAGTCATGTGTGCTAAATTAAATTTAAGTGAAGGGCAAATCTGTGTGCTGAATTTTCCCATTAAATAGGCTGTGGGAGCCATTCAATACCAAGATAGTATAAGAAGCTTGCTTAAATTCTCTCCTTCCTTGTGTGGAATTCTCACAGTAATTTCTTGCCTGGTGAAAATATTCGATTCTGCAGCATCAAATATTTGCAGTGAGATTTAATATATTTCTATAGCTGCATTCTGCAAGATATTAAAGGAGCCAGGAACCATCCAGAAATACCAAAAGGAGAAAGAGTCTCCCTTTTAAAAAAATCAACACAATGTATATTTCTGTAATTAATTTCTCCCACAGTCTCATAATATTATTTTAGCACTTTCTAAAGTAGTATTTTATTGCTCGTCTGGATAACACCCAGTAAAAATTTTCTTTTTTCCTTAAAAGATCATGGTTTTTAGCCTTCACAGTATCATGCATGTTAACAGTATAAAATTAAGTTCGTAATGGTAAATATCCATCTTCTGAAATGCAGATTACTGTTCTGTTGTAACAGGTCTCAAAAGTTTATTCTTAGTAATTTTATCAGCCCTCACAGAGCAAAGGAGGAAATATCTCTGGGTTGTGCAAGAAACAGCAAAGCATCTTAATTTGTTTAGAAATTAAGGTGTGCTCCAAATCTCCCCAAAGTGAATTTTAAAAAGATTGATCAGGCATGGGAGAAAGGCTGAAAGCCACAAGCGCTTTGCAAACTTTAAAGAGGTTATTTTTTGTTTTTTCCAGGAGCTCTACAGGAAGGACTGCAATTTAGCTGCTCAGCTTCTCCAGTGCAGCAAGAACTATGACAGGGCACATAAACTTTCAGAGGTAATGCGACCAAACTTGTTCGATTACATAAATATTGTATGGAAAACAGGTTATTTTGCATGTACCAATTGCAGAATTTGTTTGCCCTTAAGGTTTTTATTCCTGCACACAACCCTCCTTTAAGCCACAGGAGGCCTCGTGCACCTGCTGGTGTCTGTGCCATCGAGGATGGTGCTGACAAAATCACAGCCGTGGTGGAACTTGAAGGCACTTTCTTTCCCCAAACCTCTCCTATCCAGTAGGATGGGCCTGCATGATTGCCTGTAAAGCAAAGGTTTTGTAAAACACTGAAGTGCTGTGAGCTCCAGAATGCAAAATGCTGTGCAGGAGCAGCGGGGTGAGAGCAGGGAAATGACAAGCCACAGGCGTCAGAGATTCTGATATAATCAATTTTCCTCCTGAAGCTATTTTCCAGTCCAGCTAGTTTCCAAACCCGAATTTTAAAATGGACTGCCAGAACAAATATCTTTTTCTAAAGAAACCAGAGCGCTGAATGATTGATTTCCAAGGTGGAAACTTTAATTAATAATCCTTGCTTCCAAGGAAACGAGGCTTGAGGAATAGGCTCCTTAAAGGGGAGGCAAATATTATCTTAGTTTAGAAGACAGTTCTTTAGGGATCCAGGCCCTGCACAAAGCAATAGCACCTTCCTCACACATATTGCTTCAGTGAAAGTTACAGGGAATAGCCTTTCCTTCTTCAGTCCCATCAGGTCAACCTCCCCCCAAATGGCCTCTCTTGTGCAATTCTGCAATGGAATAGTGCAAAATTAAATTTGGAATGTACAAACCATCTCTAAGTCAGTAAATGGCTTCAGAGCACTGAACAACCCTGGTAAACAAAGATGGAGCAAGATGCTTCTGTCCACCAGGCTATGATTTTATGGAACAGAGACAGAACTTCCAATTAACCATTATTATTAACCATTACCTTGGTCCTATTATTTTGTCCTGTTAACTGACTTCCCTTAGCAAATTGTATCAAGGAATTACCATTACATTACTCACACTTGAAAGCACCCTACCTGTTCTAATTAAGACCTTAAAAGTATTTAATTGTTTATTTCCAGAGAACTATCACAAATGTGAGATCTCCCCACAATTTCCCAGACTGTCATATACTCAGTTAAATAGGCAGTCTCCACTCATTAGTCCAATCATTTATTAATTTAGCAAGTGTGAATGTGCTGTCACAGCCAATAAATTCTTTACAAATGCAAATATTGCCTGATAAACTATTATATGTTATCCAGAAACCTAAGCTGTAGTAAAATATAGCAGTGTGATAGCAGTATCATTTTAGTAATTCCAGTTTCCAGTGCAGTGCCCACAAAATAATGTTCTTTTTAACACATTTCATAATCTTAATAACGTATATAAAATAGATCAAACACTGGTGCTACAGGATACTAAAATAAGAGCTGCCCCATACAGCATTTTCACATTAATTAACTGTATTTCTTTTCCTCATTTCTATGGCAATTTACACCAGACCTATTTTACAACCTGTTTATTCAATCTTTGTTGCATCTGTACTTGCCATGACTAATGTTGCTGTCTGCCAGCGGACTGGCAATATCATTTATTTCCAATGGAGGACATATGAGTTAATTAGCAACATAATGATTAATCCAAAATATCCTGGAAGGTCTGTTGGTTGAAAAAACACTTGTCCTGCTACAAATAACAGGAATGTAATTTCACTACATGCCGTATTCTGAACACAGTGAGGTTTGGGGGTTAAAGCAGCTTTAAAAACTTCCCAATGAAATTAAAAGAGGATCTCCATATCTTAGAAAATGTGAGGCCATGACAAGGAGCAGGCACGTTAAATTTCCTTTGTCAAAAATAAAGAGGAGGGGAACAACTTACCAGTATTTGTAGTGTTCTCTTCTCTAGAGGAGCAAATTTAAGGAGGAAGTGAGATTGTAGGGTCATAAGGTTAACCACTGATTATTTTGTGAAGAGGAACTTGATTTCTAGTTATAAAAAGAAAGTGCTGAGTAAATCACTGTTCAGCCCAGCACCGAAGGGATTAATTCCCAAGTGGCATAAATCAACAGGAATACCAAAGGAGCTAACAAAATCACAAACTCAAACTTATTCCAAGCATGAATTCTGATTTCCAGCAAGAAACAGGGAGAGACAACCGCTCCCATATTGCTTTCTGATCATTGGTAGAGACCTCAAGTGAGCAAGGCAGATAAAATTTGACAGGAAAGCATGCTTGGTGATGCCTGAGTAGGCTTCACCAAGGAATGCCATCTCTCTCTCTGCTGGTCCACATGACAGAATGGCAGGTGAAACCACCATCCACAGCCCTGGTCCTGACTTTCTGAAAAAAAACCCTATATGATTTCTGATACACAACAGACTTATTGATTAATTCTGTCACAGGAATCACAATGTGAATTCAGGTCTTAGTGCTTTTTTTCTGTCAGTGTGTTGAGGTTTATGTGGCTGGTTGATCTGACAAGCAGTGTCCAGCTGAAGGGGCAAGGAAGCCAGCTTGGTCTGCTTCTTCCCAGCACAGGAATAATCCTGTCACAGCAGCCAGCACCTCTTCTATAAGTGTCAGTCAGCTTCTCTGCATCTTCAAACAGCATTGTTTATCAAAGGTGATGCTGGAGGGCAGGAGCCAATTTGGCATGGGGTTGTAGGCAAGATGAGCTTGAGGAAAAACAAAAGAAGAGCAGAATAGATGTTATCTCTTCCTCCTTCCTCACCCCCACAGAGACCTCTGCACACCCACACTCCAACTGCAAATCACACCCAAGCACACAGTCTGGAAAGTGTTGCCGTAGGCTGTAATTCCCTACCTGCCTTTTTAAGATCGTTGTTTACTACATGCTTTATTTACATCAGTAAAATAAACCTGGAAGTGCTGGGTTAATGGCTGGACTTGATGAGTGTAGAGGCCTCTTCTGACCTGAGCAATTCTGTGATCATTCCTATCCAACCTGAATTAATTTGGAAGGAAACATTTCAGTTTCACAGTGTTATCTGTGAGCGAAAGCAGATGAAGATGTACAAATGTTAAATAAACAAACAAAATTCATTTGATTACAATTGTTTCAAGAAATGCACAAAGATTGCGGCCATCACAAAGAACCAGGTATGGTGAGCTATGTAGTGCCATAAACAGCACTCATCTGACACCTCTATTGACACATACTCTTTTCTCCTTTCTCTTTGCCATCTCTTTATGTTGCAGTTGCCAACTGACTTTCAGGAAAGAGTCAGCATCCACCTGGAGAAACACGGGTGCAGCCTTTCTGTCCCCTTGTGCCACACTTCCTATGCTGATACCATACCCACTTGTGTCATTGCCAAAGTACTGGAAAAACCAGACCCACACAGCTTGTCCTCACACTTGTCAAGCCCATCCACGAGGGATCTCAATTTTCAGGACTCTGCTGGAAAAGTCGGACAAAGACCCCAGTACAAGTCCGACATCTACTGCAGTGACACAGCTCTTTACTGCCCCGAGGAGAGGAGGAGGGAGAGGAGGCAGAGCGTGGACACACAGGTGAAAGACGTGGGGTTCCTGCGGTCCCAAAACTCCACGGACAGCACTGTGGAAGAAGATGGTTTCCATTCCAGCTTCTCCCACGAAGCCTTCCCAGAGTACATTACCTCTCTTCCAACCTCCAGCTCCTACTCCAGCTTCAGCGTCACGTCTGAGGAGAAGGAGAATGCCCAGGCCAACACTCTGACAGCCTCCCAGCAGGCGATCTACATGAGCAACCGAGACGAGCTGTTTGAAAGGAAGTCCCCCGCGGGTTACGAGCATCAGGGGAGCCCCAGGTTTGCCAAGCCCAAACCCGCGCAGCACATGGAGCTTGCTGACGACAACGAGAACTCACCCACTTTTACCAGGACTCTGCCTCCATATGCAAACGAACCTTTTCATTTCTCAGCCATAACACCACAGCAGGCTTTGGCAAACCAGAAAATGAGGAATGAGTGCAGGAGCACCCACCTCTCAGAAGAAGACTTGCCAGGGCGATGGAGGCAGCTGAGTGTGGAGGACATTGGAGCGTACTCCTACAGGAATGCTGGCAGGCTGTCTCCCTGCAGCTTCTCAGAGCAGTACTACAGCAGCCCCATCAAGAAGGGGGACAGTCGAACAAGCCCCATCTATGCTAGTTACAAAGCAGACAGCTGCTCAGAGGGAGATGACATCTGCCAAAGCAGACTTGTGGATTCTTGCTTCCTGAGAACAGACAGTGGCCTGAACATTGACATCAGCACAAGCTGTAAACAGGACAAATTGCCCACTTACAAAACAAAAGAATCAAGAGACCAAAAAAACGAAAGGATCACTGTCCAGTTATGCAGTAGCAAAAACATCGAAAACAGCCAAGTATTGAAAAGAGAATACGTGGACGTGAGCCCCAACAGCTCAGCAGAGTCACTCAATCAGAGTTCAGTGGAGGCTCCAGAAATCCACCAGTCTTCCATGGATCAAGGAAGCCATTCGGGTGTTCACAGCAAACAGCCGCAGTTCCAGAGGACTGGGAGCACTGGTCTGAGTCGGAAGGACAGCCTTACAAAAGCACAGTTATACGGAACCCTTCTGAACTAGGCACCTCCCCAAATGGCAATAAGACAGCAAACAAAAGGAAGAAAAGAGCATTTGATATTTCTAGTGAACAATAAGGTTCTAAGAAGCAGGATTGTTATAAAATATATATTCATAACGGTACTATATGTTTAAAACAAAATCTCTTCAAAAACGTTATACAGCACTTTTCACTTGACATCCTTTCCACCTTTCCACATGGGAGACTCCCCTCTTTTATAAACCTGAAATATTTTTATAAACAAAAATGTATTTATTAGACTATCCTAAACTATTTGAGCAGAATTCTTTTCCCTTCAAGCAGGTTTCTTATTTATTTTTGTGCATGAGGCCATCTGTGCCTAAATACTTGGAGGAAAAGGGTAAAATCATGATGACAGTGACAAAAAAAAAATAAACCCACCTGATAAAATACTATAAAATGTCATGTGAAATAAAAAAAACAAGAATGGTGAATTTGAAGAACTATATTTTTTAACAAGAATGGAATTGTATCTTAAGTTATTTCATACAAATGTATTTATGAGTGACTAATGTATGCACAGTGATACTAATATTTTGTTCTTTTAATCCACTGTGTTTCTGCTTTCCTATTTTTCCTTGTATACTACCTCAAAAGTAATTGAGGGTTTCTTTGTCACATTTTCTGTAGGCTTGCATTTATATTGTCTAAAATGCATGCAGTGTCATAATTAATACTGTATTTTGCATAACTTAATAAAAGACACCAGTGGATATATTTTGGTGTTGTTTTTCCTTTCATTCAATAGAACACGCAATTGCTCTGGGGGCCATCAGTACAGCAAAAGTTAATGACTAAAGCTGCTGAACTGGATTGCTTTCTAAAGGAGTCTCTCTTTCTCTGTAAGCTCCAGAGTAAACTGGTTCACCCACAGCCCATGGCCTCTGGGTGTGCAAGGGTGACTTCTCATCAGCCTGTTGAAAGTAAGCAAGGAAAAGAAAATGTTTATCCACAGTCCTGAGTTCTCTAGACAGGGTTCTGCATACTGAATGTGAACAGAAAATTTCTTAAAAACCAGTGATGTAAGCTCCTCCTCTATTACTCACATACTTGACACAATCTTTTATGCCTTTAGGACCGTTGCATTCCACAGCTGCCCCTTCTTCTTATGTAGCTTGGTATTTCTAATAGTGATTTTTCTAAAGCCTAAGGAAAATATGGAAAATCTGTAGCCTTTACCCCTGAGTCTGAGAAGATGTATTTTTACCTGTACTTCTGGCATTTCCTCCAGCAATTTTTCTGTTTCTCACCATTTCACCATTATGGAGTGTACAACTGGGACAGGAGGAAAAGGGAGAGAGCAAAACAAGAGGAGGAGAAAAACAAAAATGAGAGAAAGGGAAATCCTGTGGATTTTCTTCCCTTCTTCCCAGCTTCAGTATTCCTGCTTGGTAAGAGGTAGAGTACAGCAATAAATATTTAATAATTATTTCAAGTCATGTTCACATATCCTATACTTAAAATACTGACTCTTGACAGCTGATGTATGGGGGAAGACCTTGCTTAGTGCAGTGTGTGGTAGTAATCTGTGAGATCACTGTGGAAATATAAACTAGCTCCTTGTAAAACGAAAATAATGATCTACGTAATAGATATTAAGAAAATATACTTTTTCTGCTGATTCTCTGAAAGCAGTTACCTGGCAACTGACTATAAACCAGGACTACAGAACTCTTCATTTCCCACATAAGTATCTTCAATCATGGGGCCAGATTCAGTGCACTTGGCATGAATAACTGCCATTGCTCTCTATTTCCACCATGTATAATGTAAAATTTGTCCATTGTTGATGTGTGCAAGTACTTGCTGTGCTCTTTGGAAGATCAGGCATCAAGTCCCTGCAGTTCCTCCAGGGTCTGTTGCAGCACCGTGGAGAATAATGGTCACAAATAATGTCACACAGGTAAGGCACGAGATAGCTCCAAAGTGGTGCTCATTTCAGTACAGAACTGCCACATACCTTGTGATTTTGTGCTCCCAAACTTGCTCACGGTGAGTGTGAGAGGTAGGGCAGGCTGCAAATAATTCCGTGAAGTCGATAATAAACACATACAATGGGGTTTCCAGAGGCCAAGAGCTACTTATGGCAGGATGTGACCTGCAGTAAATTGACTTGGAGATCCACAAGAGCTGTTATTTCCCCTTTGAAACACCAAGACAGAAAACAGATGTGAGAAAAACCTCACTGTTTACTCATTCAGGTATATAAAATTTAGACAATCCCTAAGGCAAAACATTAATTTCTCTGGTCAATGAATATAAGGATTTGTATGGAAGAAGTGAAAATTAACTGTTATCTCACCTAAGAAAATATGTAAGCTATGAAATAGTAAAATGTGTCATTTATGAACTGGAACACAGTGTCAGACTAATCCCTTTATAATATTGTTCATTATTTGACCTAAAGTGCTATTTTGGCAATTACACAAAATTACATTTCTTCTAGATATTATATCTCTATTATATTATTTAATATCCTGTTCTATTATATTCTTTCATATTACTGCAGTTTCAAAGTCTGCTTCTATGCTTGACTTAACTCTTTTTCTCAGTTTATGTGCACTAATACATAGATTAAACCCAGCCTTTTCAGCCAGTTAGTACAGGTTTTTTTTGTGAAATAGCCCATAACCTTGTAACATTTTTCTGTAGTGAATTCTTTTACAGAACAATATATTACCCTGTAGTGAATTTCAATGTAATCAATCAAAACGGCTATAAAAATTCTTCAGCTTTAATGTGTTGATTTAAATTTCTCCTTAATTAGAAAAACTGATGGTAAGTTTGTTAATTTCCTATGAACATGAGAAAAAGTTTCAATAATTTACCAAAATTTTCTCATATTTACAGATACACTATGGTTTAGTTTAATTTTTTTTTAATAACTTTGAAATGTTATAATAAATTATTTATTTCTGGGATTTTGGGGTTAATTTTGTCACAATAAGGTTAGATTTATTGAGACAACAACAGTGAGAGATCTGAAGCATAAGGACACAATGATGATAGGTATTTTCACAATAGATTCAAATTTTCTTTGTGGTAGCATCTTAATTTTTTGTTTGCCTTCAGTTTTCACACCAGAAGGAAGTAATCCAGAAAAATTGTGATGAGTTTTGGAGTATGTCATTGGAGATATTGAAAACAGCCAACAGAAAACCTCTTTGTACAGACTTACAGTCACTGAGATTTCAGGAGACTGATCCTTGTAAAATAGGAGCATTTACCTTCTGTAGGACATTTCTGACAGAGAACGGCACCTGAAAAATCCTTTTTGGAAGAGATGACTTCCCTTTTTTCATTCAGGTAGAGGTGGTATGATAATCTCTTCTCTTATGCTCATTTAATTGCAAATGTCTCCAGAAAGTAAAAGAACAGATCTTCAGCCAAAGTGCACAGACCCCTCCACTCCAGTGGCTGAGAATTTGCCATGAAATGCCTTTTCCCAAGGACATGGGAATGGGAAAATGTTCCATTTTCTCTTAAGCATTATAAGAATGCCAAGGTGGCCCCATGCTGCCACAAACATCACTTTTCCAAGTCAAATTTCATATGCAGGATTTGTAGGTAACTATGGCAGGAATTCTTATTTGATTCATTATTTCATTTGCCATGAGTAAGGACAGAAAGGGCGAGTAAAAGAAGTGGCAAGTCCCCAACAGTGCAGTGAAGGAGAAGATGAAAAATGTCATTTTAATGATGGAAACCAAAAGCAGAATGAATATGACACACAACACTGATCAAGGGGAAAACAAAGGGGGCTGAAAGAGATCAGAATCAGGCATATTGAGTCACATATCAATACAGAAGAGAATACAAAAATGTTACTAGGGATATGGGTTATAATTCACCAGTAATAACAGTGCAAAACTATTATGAAATCATGGAAAGAAAATGCATTTTTGAGATGTTTTCTCACTCTCAATTAATCTTAAAAAAAGATGCAAAGTCTCAATAATAATGAATAATGCAGTCACTTTTGTTAAACTTTTTCGAAGTCTAGAATTAGCTGAAATTTTTAAGTTTAAATCATGGCAAGCCATAACCCAGGTCATTTTCTACTCAACAATTTCTAACTTCTTCACCCAAACTAGAAAATTAATCAAACTAATTCTTTCCCCTTCCAGCACTTTTAATTAAAAAGAATCCATAATCTATCACAGAGCATGATTCTGCAGCTACTTAGATTAATTTCCCCTTGTTTAATTTTAAAGTACTGATTGACATCCTTTGGACTTTCGTATAAAATTCTTATCCTCCATTCATGGTTGCAACCTTGTAACCTTTACAGACAATTGTTATATGTCCTTAAATATTGCTTAAATAGTGTAGATGTAGTCATCTCAGAATTTTCTCTTGGAAGACACTTCTTTCAGGACATTAACTGCTTCTTATTCTCGTCAAGGAATGTCCTCCTCAGCTTTCTGCTGCTGAACACCACAACATTTTACTGTGAGCAGTGAGCTGTTCCAAGCCCCTGTACCAAAGGGCAGTTCAGGGAAAGGTGAGGGCTACACACATCAGAGCAGCTTCTAATGACCCTGCACGCTGATCTGCCTGCACCAAACCATGGCATCTCGTCTACGTGGTCTTATAGCAACACTACCAGAAGTTTTTCATTGTTTTCCCAATCTTTCCTCCAAGTCTTTGAAAACAAACTTCATTGTTAGAAACAGCTCTGGCAATTCAGTTGTTCTTTGGCAACCTGTCGTTCATTCCAGCGTCTCTCACATCATTTCCACTTTGGTATTTTCTTTTTGCTGTATTTTAGTAATTGGGAGGTTTTGTTTAGCTGCAGTTAAAAAGAGTGATTTGAATATTCATGCAATGAAAGGGTTTGCTCCTTTTGTACCCCACAAGGTCTTAGACACCAGCTTACTGCCCAAGGCACCAAGGTTTTGGAAGGCTGCTGTTCCAAGCCCCTGAGCTCTCTCTTCCCCAGGCTCCTGCAGCCCCCGTGCTGCAGAGAAGGGTCCTCTGC